TCAACAGCAAGGTGGATGGACTAAACTACAATGGTGATGAGTGCACTGTTGGAAGACCTGAAAGACCTGGTATAGGGATGGATTGCCATGGAGAAAATCTATCTATTTTGTCACTAAGGGTCAACCACAACTTGATGGTACATAATCAGTCAAAGATGGTACAACCACTATATCCCGAATCTTCAGTATGTTAAATATGGGTCATGGGAATTAAGGATGCAGTAAGATCAGGATGATAATATATTGCTCAGCTCAGCTTTAATGAATTCTGACATTGTAAGATCTAGCAATAGTGTGCTTTGTTTTTATTGAGGAATTAATGCATATTGATTGCTATGATTTTTATATCGCTATAGCAATGCTTGATGTTTTGGTTCTATGAAGAACGTCTAATCTAGGTCTCCTCAACCTGGCATCCTTCAGATGTGTTAGGATTGTGACTTCCAGAATTTCCAATCAATATGCCTTTAGAGGAAATTTTCTCTAGAGGGCATCGACTGGGGAATTGTGTTTTAATCTTTCTGAAATATAAAGCAAGCTGTCTTGGTGACTTCGATAGCAAAGATATTTTCTGTATCTAGCAGATACCTATATTTATGATTCTAATTTCTCTTTTGCATTTTTAGCCTTTATTTTTCTTAACTCTCTGATTAATCAGAAACATATTAATATGTGAAAACATAAATGATTATTAAGATATGGGGAGAGATAGAAGCATTATTGACAGTGTTTAAATAAGAATAGTAATGAATGAATAAATATAACTATGACAAGTTTAGCTCACTGTACAGAAAGTAACCATGCCACTTTGGAAAGTGACTGATAGCAAAGGAGGATCAAGGTACTTCAAGGTATTACATTTATTACCAAGAGTGCAAATTTCCGATTACTTAGTAAAGATTTTCAAAGATGGTCAACTGCACTATTAGTAGTGGGGGAAAATATTTTTGTGCTTCTATGTACAACTTTTAGCTGAAGGGGCCACCTCTTCTTAAAGGTTAACTGAAGCACAGTACTGCTGCTAGTAACTTCCTATTCTACTTAATATTTTAGAATAGAATAATAGTAACTTTATTGTCACACTGTACATTGTTGTACATTGAATGTACACATATCAGCATACATTAAAATGAAATTTTATGCAGTTACTCTACAGGTGTCTGACTGCTATTTATGTTGGTATTTATCTTGACTCAGGAATAGGCAACACTGTTGGACAAGTAGACATATATATATATCATAGTCAAATGGCTATGATCGACATGATGTGCAATATCAATATAGGTCAAATGCTAACCCTCTTAGTCTTTCAGGATGCTCCCTCCCTACCACCTTACCATTAATTTATTTTTCTTGGCACATAAGCTCAAACTAAGAACTGAGTTGCACCCATCATTTTTTAAAATTTTCTAAGAATATCTAAACAGCTTGTGAGATGATGCTAGAAGCATACTGCTTTTAAAAAAAAAAATCTGAAAGAAGAAAATTGATAGGCACTATACAAAGATAATATTAACCTCTCATTATCAAAACATTCCAATTTGGTTTTTTTTTTGTTTTTTTACATTATTCTATGTTAACACTAGAAATTTAAGTGAAAAATGTGGGTTGCTGTAGAAGGAATACCTGTATCATGTTCCTATTTCATTCATTTTAACTTCATACCAGAAAAATTAAACAGAAACTAAAGCCAACTTTTAGTTCCAAGAGACATGCCACATCAACTAACAAGAACTTCAAGAGGTATCATGGATTAAGATCATGGATTTGACCAAAGTCAAAAGAAGGCATGTTTTCAACAGGTGCAGTTTTTCTCACTATTGAATAAATGGTAAAATTCCTTCTTTTACATCACATAAAACTCGTGCTCTCTATACCAAAGTATCATATTAAGATGACTAGTAACTACCTAAAAGTATGTTCTAATGATAATCTTATGGAACAAAATGAATAAAATTAGCTTCTAAGAAAGTTTTCCATCTTGATTTTAACTGATTTGATTATCCAAGTTCAAGAACTTTCTTACGGAAGCGCAAAACTAACTTCTTTTATACACTTTCCCATTAAGTATCAATTATGCTTTCACCTGAGTAACTAGCAAGTGTTTAAAGGTCAAAATACTTCGCACCAATGATAGACTGAGTGAATAGTGCTGTATTCAATTAACAACCAAAAGCCTCAACTTTTAAGTTTGGTCTTATTTTGGGTGAGTTTGGTGTTATTTTTCAATAGGTATTAAATTTAATGTCTCCTGAAGGAGTAACCTTTTTTTTTTTTTGCTAGCCAAGGGCTATTGTGCATAAGATTAAGATCATTTATTAATAGAGTGCATTCAAAGTTTAACTATTTTTTAATCTGGTTAAGGACATATTCAATCTCCACAAACTCAAACTTCAAATGCAATTTTCGTAGACTAATTTCAATATAGAGTTTTGCTGGTTTGAAAGATCATTAAATTAAGAATTGTCTATTTCACTTACTGTCTTGATAAATTAATCAAAGATGGACATTTGCTATACAATATTTTTAAAACTTCAAGACTAAAAAATAAAGAGATGAATTCATACTCAGACATATTAATAACAAAAGAATTGTTGCAAAAGCAAGCATAGCTAGTACCAATAGCAATAGGTGCTTTGCTACAATCTTTTACACCATCAAATAATAACATCTGCCTATCCCAGGTCCTTGAGGACTTGACAGGTAGATAAAAAGTCCAAATACTACCAAACCTCTGGGTGACTCTGTGACCAACCATGATAATAATACCATCAAATCATGTAAATAAATAGTTTCTGGATACTGTGAGTTTTTTTTCCAGTAAAACAGTTTTATTAATTAATCTCTGAAATAAGGAAGGAAAGTAAAATATTGAAATGAAAACAATGCTTGAGAAAAGCAAGGATAATACAATATAATTCTGAGGAATGAGGGACCAGTGATATGGCAGGGAAAAGATAAGATAAGCAAAGCTAAGTGAGGGAGAAATGGACACGGGTTAAGAAATTATTTTAAAACCGTTTCTGGATAATGAAACAATCCACTAAGCAACATTTTATATTCCTATTCAAGTAGTCACGGTTCCTTGAAAAGCAAAAAAGGTGTGAGTGGTGGTGGTGGGCATTAAGAATATGCAGGGCTGTCCAGTGACTGCCAGTATGCTGCTGTAAAGTCTACTGTGCTAGAATAGAAGGAATTATTGGAACATCAAGGAGGGCTTAAGCTATCATCAGGGATTAGAAATGAGTCCCACTCGGGAAGACAGCATCAAGTGAGAATGTGAGTACTGTATTTCCATGAGAATTAAAAACAACTCTGAATGGTGACAAAGGACTGGGTAGAAAAGTTTCTGGATGGAAGGTTCAAGAATTCAGAAAGAAGGCAAGAAGCGCAGGTTAAAGGAAGCTGACACTAAGTGTTGGGGAGGGGGACAGAACAGAAGGAAATACTGGAAAGAGACACGGTTACCAAATGATAAAGTGGATAAGCAGGTGGGTTTTGCTGAGAGGGATAATACTCTTAAAAAGCAATTCAACTTGGACTAATCTGATTGGGAATTATAAAACGGAAAAGGTATATTGGGGGAGGTGCAAGTGAGGGCATGGGACAACGAGAGCCATCTCTAGCTTCCAAGTCAGATCCTAACCCTTTTCCTTTCTGGAATCCCATGCTCAGAAGACTGAAGGTATTTACCCACCCAGCAACACCAGTTCTCCAGAACAATCTGTCCAGAAAGCTGCCCAGAGTTTGTGAAGGTGGTCTAGCTGTCTCCTATGGCAGAAAAGGAGGCATGAGCGGCAAGGATGGAGAATCCCAAAATGGAACAGAGGAAAAGGCTCCAACATATACATACATATTTCCCTCTCATCCTTCAGTCATCCCTCATCAGAAATGTGATTGAGGGGAGGGGGGCGCCCGGGGCCAGGACCCATGACTTGGGAGGCAAGTTGAAGCCTTATAAAAAGGGACCATCTCCTCTTTTTGGCAGCAGGGGGCCTAAAGAAAAAGGCTGCCAAAAAAAGAAACGGCGGGGAGGGAAGAGGAGGAAAGAGGGATGGCGGCAAGAGGAAACAGTAGAGCAGCAACGATGAGACGCTTTCGGAAGGAATGCCTACCACAGGCAAAGTGCAAGCCTGTGAGGGAATGCAGGGAAGGGGGCAGGCAAACCGGGTGGAAGAAAACGCCTCCGAGAAGGGAGGAAAGAGCAGCCCGCGTATCCGCGGGCGGGCATAGAGGGGCGGGAGCGATTCGGTAGCAGAGATGCAAAAGATGAGCCGCCCCCGAGCAGCCCGTTGGGAGCAGGGAAGAGTTTGAGAAGGTAAACAACAGCCACGCCCCCTACAGTTCTCAGCTCCACCGCGCAGCTCAATTGCAGCCGCTGCCTGTACATTTCCATTCCCGAATCTCTCTGGATCCCCCAGCGGCGTGACTCTTGTCCTAGCTCCCTCCCTCCCCAACACCACCACCACCACCACCACCACCACGCAGCCATCCATCCCTCACTAGGTTACGGCGCGGCTGCAAAAGCCATCAGTGCCCCAGAGAAGCTGATGCTATTCAAAGCCCCGCGGGGCTCTCCCACCCTGGCCGAAGACTGCGCTGCCGCTTCTTCTGCCTGCCTCCTGGGCGCATTGTTTATGTCTGTTGCAGGAGCTGGCAGGAACCCCACAACCTCAGCACGTGAGAGGAGCCGATCATGTGGGTGCACTAGCTTCAAGACAGGCAAATGCTCCAAAACGTGCTGCGTCTCAACAAAAATGAAACTCCTGGCTCCTAATTGCCGCGCGATCCCTTTTGCACGACTTGACACACACACACACACGCCCCACGTAATTCCCCACATGCAACGCACATTGTTTTACCCTCCAAACCCGGTCCTGGGTTCATATTTCTGGAACCCCATTTTTCCTCTCGATGTCCTCTGCCCCACCCCCCCGGTGGTCTTAAACTGTGGCCAGTCCCTTTTCCCACTCACCCCCTTTAAGACCTTCTGGGGTTACCTCTGCCGCAGTCATTAATCCGAGGAACCGTTTCCCGAGGCTCCCGTTCCTTTAAAAAGTTGTTGTTTACATTCCTGCCGCCTCCCTTTTAAAACATGACTGACCAACATGCGCAATCAATCTCTAAAAACGCTGCACATCCCCCCCCCCCTTCCTTTGCAGGCAGTACAGTCAGGGAGCAGTAAAACAAATGCAAGGAGGGAAGGGAGAGAATAGAGAGGAGCTGCAAAAACCGGGGTGGGGGGAGAAATGGAGCAATCCTCCACCCTTTTACCTTGGCTGGGAAAGAGCGTCCTCCAAGAGTTGAGAATGTCCGTCGGGCTACCAAAGCGGGGTAGCGAAAGATGCTCCAGAAATGGCACCGCCGCTTACGGAATCTCCCTTTGCAAAGATTAACCCGGTACCATTGCGGAGGGAGAGAACGACCCCTTCTCTCCTAGGATCCGAAGATGATACCCTCCTTTCAGGAGTAGATACAAAGTAACTCCATAGATGCATTTAAAAAAAAAAAAAAATATCCAAAAAATTGCTTCCAGCTGAGATGGCCGCTCTGTGCGAAATCCACCGAGCCCTGCGTGCGTGTTTCTGGTTTTTTTTTTCTTTTTTTAATTTCTAGACTTCTTTCCGGATCTTTGTGCAATTGCCCGAAGGTCTGCGCCTAGGCTTTTTTTTTATTTTAATCCCTCGCTGGCGAAGAACGGACTTCTTTGAAGGAGTGTATAAATTAAGACTGATGCTGGCGAGTTCGCCCCTCGCCCCCCTTCTCTCAATTTCTTTTCTTGCTTGTTGTTTCTTCCTCCTGACGAGCAGCAGGTCCAGGTGCAGCTGCAGACGTGGGTCCCATCCCTGATTGTGCTCGCGGCATGTGTTGCCTCCCACCCCGGCGCACTCTTCGCCCACCCCTCCCTCCCTCCACTCCCTTGTTTTCACCCCCCTCCGATGCGCCGAGCCCCCATCTCTTGTCTTTCTGGTGCCCTGGGCAGCTGGAAAAGGCTCGGGTTGCACAGGCGGACTCGCTTTCCCTCGCGCTCTCCCCTCCGAGCCTGGCTCAGGTCACTTTCGCAACGATCTTCAGCCTCGCGCGCTCACAACAGCGGCGGCGGTGCACGCACAGATCACAAGAGCTGGAACACTTTCTTCGCTTCCTCCGCTTTTCATACGCACCCCCTCCCCATCTCCTCTTTCTCCCCCCCCCCACCACCCGCGAGCGCTTTCACCTCCTCGAAGCTGTGCAAAAGGCGTTAGCAGCAGCTAGCCCGCTGCTGCAACCTTACGGAAAAAAAAAATAACCTTATACTTAACAAAATCTTTTGGCGCCATATTAATGACGTACTTCAAATTTGCCATTTCTTCCTGCGTCAAAAAGACGTTTCTTACAAATAACAGATGAGGTGCAAAGCGGAGAGGGCGAGCGCAGGAGTGAGGGGGAGGGGGGAAGAAGAAGAAGGGGGGGAATAAAAAGAGGGAGAAAGACCCTCGGACCGATTTTTTTTTTTAAAAAAA